TGACTGGGAATGAAATATCTTTCTCAGTATAAATGTACTTAGAAAGTTGGCTGTTTAAGTAATCAGAAGCTTTCAAGACAACTGAAGGCACGGGAAAAAATTGTTGTATGGAGGTATTAGCATAAGAATTTCAACCAAAGATTGATAGTTTTTTTTATTACTCATGAAGGCTGAACATGATGCCCTAATGAATAAACCTCAGAAATGAAAAAAAAAAGGTGTTTCAGTTTAATATTTCTGTGAAATTCCATTTTACACTCTTGGGTTGGAACAGGTGAGTGAGAGAATTGTGTTAATCAATGAGTGCGTTGTACTGTCTTGATTATAAAGGTTCACGTAGACCGATGATACAAGGAACCAAAGTTGATCGGTATAAACTTAAACATTTAGTGGTATTCTTCTTTGAGATAATCAATATCTGTAGCATTTGAGACCGGAGTTCAAAAGGTATTGAATTATTTGACAGTTGAAAGAAAGAATTTTAGTTTCTTGCTTAGCATGACATGGCATGCCTCTTTAATATTATTTTTGTGGTTTATGGTATTATTGTTTTTATTTACAAGGTCTTTGTCATGGTTCATCAGGAGCCTAAGTCAGATTTAGAAGTTAAAGAGCAGAAGAGATTTTTACGTGGAAAGCATAGGAAGATTATTGAGTCAAATTACTAAGCATCTTAATAGTTTTATTTTTTGCCAGATGGCTTAACTACTGTCTTGTAGCTTTGCTGTTGTCAGGTGTCTTAAGGTAATTAGCAGTTACAAGACAAGTCAGTTTATTACAGGTATGTTGTAATAGGTATGCTGTTCTTCAGGCAGGAATTTACTACTTAAGGAAGCAGTTATCTTGTACTTCAATGCCTTAAAAGGGCTGTTTTAATTTAAATAAGATATGCAGAGAATTTGTTTTAGTTTCTTGCGTACTCTAACTAAAGGAGATTTTAGAGTTCGCTCTTAACGAGCCCCAGCTATTACATATCATAGACAAAAAGGAAGAAGAAACCAGAAGCATTCTGATTCTTATTTGACAGATTTCACTCCGAAGAGTCCTATAACTAGATCCAGGGCTTTGGTGCGTACCAGTCTTCATTGTTTTTATCGACCTCATTGGGTTAGCTTGTTAGGAACACAAGTGGAAAAATAAGAGGAAATTAGGTAATTAGTAGATAGGTGTATGTGTTGTATTATGAGATAGGAATCCAAAGATGAAGAGAGAAACAAAGTGTTGTTTATGGGTTTATTAGATAGAGGTACGTACTGCATTACATGTGCTGTTTCGAGAGTTTATATGTTGTATTTTAATGAAGCATTGTGAGTGTTAGTAGGAGAAAATTAGGGAGAAACAGGTCAGAAATTACGCTGTTCCGGAAAGTAACATCCAGAATAACTCCTTCTCTTTCTTTTATGTGTCTATGTGCTATATTGGTGAGCCGTAGGATGTGTGTAGGACAAGGGAAGAAGGGGTAAGGTTAGGATAATGAATATGGGTAGTTACGAGTAGTTATAATAATTTTGGAAAATAACTTCCAACCTAACTGCTTTTTTTTTTTTTTAAATCAAAAGACCAAGCTGTCTTTATGGGCAGATTATGAATGAAGAAAAATTTATCAAGTTTTGAGTAATTTTCTTATTCAAGAGACTGTTGACTTTTCTCTTAACGAGGCCATATTGTTAACAAAATCCCATAACTAAATCCATCAAGAGGGACCCTAACATAGCTTCACTGCACCAGTTCATGAAACTAAAGAGGATTAATTATTGAGATTCTCAGATAAGCCAGTATGTCTTTGCACTTAGAGGATTTTTTTTTCTGGCTTGATGTTGATGGCAAAAGCAGCACATGAATGATGGTGTTTCTGGCTTGTTAATTGTTTGGTACGCTTTTGAGGTGTGATGACGTCCGTCATCATCTATCACAAGGTTCTTCGCCTGGTAATGGAGGAGTGAGCTGATGATGGATGTGATCTTGCTATCATGCAGGGGATAATAGAGGGTGAACTACTTATTGGGTGGGAATTTTGTGTTATTGTTGGTGGTTGGTTACATGGTGGTGGAGTTGATGACTTGATGGTGGTTGCATTACAAGGTTTCTTATTGAGGTTCCAAGTATGAGACTATAAATCCTTGCAGTAAAATCTTTTTTTTTTTCTTTTTTTCTCTTTGACAAATTGAATGTCTTCAAAGGTAATTTTTTCTTTGACGTGAATTCATGCTTCTCAAGATACATGGAACAAAACTTGACCTTTTTGGTCATTTTACAAATTATGCATTTCATTAATTTTCTCCCAATAGAGGGTTAAAGATACTTTTTTCCAATATAAGAAAAAATCTAATGACAGAAAAATCATCTGGGACACCCTTATAGTTTCCTTCTTTTTTTTTAATATGGAATTTTAAAAGTCTTTGCCATTGACATAGACAAGTGGTTTTCTTTTCAAAGGAATAGAAACAAAATGAACGGACCTTTTGTTGCATTGAATGGTGATTAGGCGATTGTCTGGTTCTTGGTGGCTTGATGTTGATGACAAAAGTAGCACATTCACGATGGTGCTTTTGTCTCATCAATTATTTGGAATGTTTTCGATGCGTGATCCCATTTGTCATCTCGTGTCTGTTATGGGGTTTCTAACTTGGTGGGGGAGGTGGGAGCTGATGATGGTTGTGATCTTGCTGCCACAAGG